TTTATTAGAATACAAGTCTGTTGCCAAGTGGTACAGGTACATTGTTAGGAATAACGGTTAGGAGTGACCCAGACAATCCTCGAGCCTTTTGAACATGCACAGGATCATGCTGCATGCATGACAAACCGAAATGCTGCAATTGCATCTAGAACTACTATTGCACATCCATTGTTTCCGAAATGAGCTCTTCACCACTACTGGCACCAGATGGTACAGGACAGCTGGAAGCCAACCCCCCGCCCCCTTTGACTTGCCCAACCAAAGAGCAGAGGTAGGCGCACTGCTCCACAGTACAATCCAAATACAAAAGCAGGGCACTGTTGAGACCAACTAAATTCTCATCCAGAACACTACTCTTGAACTGTGAGGCATCAGCGGTGCCTCTGCAGGAGTGGCCAGGCCAAAGGGATGCGGTGGCTCGCCCGCTCCCTTCAGGGTCCATCCTGCCAGCCAGACTGGGTACAGGGGGTGGTGGTACAGTGTTCCCTCCAAGCTGAGTGAGTGTGAGCTAGCTCACACATTCTTGTCTCAGCTCGGGAAGAAGGGCTCCAGAGGAAGCCGATTGATGCAGCAGCTAAACGGCTCACTCACCACTTGAATGCCAGCAGCTCACAAAGTAGAACCTTTGCTCACAGGACTCCACAGCTTGGAGGGAGCACTTGACTGGAGAGGTCAGCTAGCCCTCCTCCTCCGCAGTCCCCCGCCTGTCCCTGGAGACGTGCCAGGCCAGTCCCCACCAATGCTCCCTCTAAGCTTTGGAGTCTTGTGAGCAAGAGCAAGCCAATTGATGCAGCAGCCAAACTCGCTCACCACATGAATGCCAGCAGCTCACGAAGTAGAATCTTTGCTCACAGGACTCCACAGCTTGGAGGGAGCACTCGACTGGAGAGGTCAGCTAACCCTCCTCCTCCGCAGTCCCGGCCTGTCCCTGGAGACGCGCCAGGCCAGTCCCCACCTGCCTGCCACCGGAGTGTGATTCATCCACGCCCTTGCGCGGCGGCGTGCTGGTGTCTGAGGCCGCCACCAGGGCATGCCAAAGCCAGCCCCCGGGGAAGGGGGTGAGAGGGTGGGCACGCAATGTTCCCTCTAAGCTGTGGGGTTTTGTGAGCAAAAATTCAACTTGGTGAGCTACTGGCATTAAAGTTGTGAGTCATTTGGCTACTGCATCAATCAGTTTGCTCTGGAGCCCTCCTTCCTGAGCTAAGACGAAAATGTGTGAGCCAGAGGCTAAAAAACTGTGAGCTAGCTCACACTAACTCAGCTTAGAGGGAACAGTGGTGGGCAGCCAGGGGCGGCCCAGAGGGGCAGGCCCCACCCCGCTGCAGAGGGTCGCCCGGACCTGGTCTGCGGGATTCGAGCCCCGCCGCCTCTCGGAGCCTCAGAGGCTTTTCGGGCCTCCGGCTGTGGCCCCCAGGCGGCCCTGACCCGCGGAGGGCAGAGACGGAGGAGGGCCGCCCCTCTCCGCCCGGACAGCAGCCCCGCAAGGCAGGACACACACACACCCGCCGGGCCACCTGCGGACTCGCCTGTCGCGGATGATGGTCTGCAGCTCCCGGATCTGGTCGTTCATGGGCAGCAGCTTGAGCTGGGCGCCCAGCGGCGCGGGAGGGGGGGGAGGATGCGCCGCCTCCGCGCAGGGCCCGCCGTTGCTGCCGGAGCAGTAGCAGCCGCCGCTCCCGTCGCTGCTGTCCGGGCTGGGGCTGCTGCTGTCGCCCTCGCGCTCCGCGAAGCGAAGCTGTCGCTTGTGGCAGGGCATGACCGCCTCCATGCGCCCCGCCGGCCCTCGCCGCCTCAGCCCAGCGCGTGGCGGGCGCCGCACTCGGCCGGGCCGGGGAGGGAGGGTCAGCGGCCGGCCCGCCCTCCCCATTGGCTGCCCGCTTGCCACTCAGCGGCCTCCGCTCCGCCGGCTTCGTCCCCGCCCCGTTCCCTCACGCACGCACGCACGCACGCGCACTTCTTCCATGGCGCAGACCGCCGTCCCCCGCCACTACCTCCTAAAGATGCCCCCGCCCGCTCTTCAAAAGCCACGCCCCCGCCCCCCTGCCCAACGGGATGCTGGGAAGCGTAGTACTGTGCATGGTAGCAGCTGTTCGAACTTTGTTATATTGCGATCCGATCAAGGTGGGCAGTCGTGTTGGTCTGAAGTAACGCGACAGTGGCACCTTTAAGACCGACACATTTTTATTCGAGATATGAGCCTGCGTGCACACAAAAGCCCCCCAATGCCCCCCCACATTTGCCTTAGTTCTTCTAGCTTTCCGAAGAAAAAAAATTGCAAGTCCCCTATCAATTAGAAACTTCTTAAAACAGGCGCTGTTAATTCCAAGAATATGGTCCCAAGCAACATATTGTATAGACGGAAATGGACAATAACTGAATTTTAGCTAGTGTCTATTCTGTGAGCCATGTGGCCTGGTCTTTTTCCCATAGCCAGA